CCGGCGTTTGCGGTGGCCGGCTAGAACCACTAGCATGGGAACCGCGCCCATGCTAGCCGTTATACGCCAAGACTGCGGAGCTGATGAATATACCTACCTCCACGGAGCTGGGACGACGCCCTGCTGCTGCTTAGCACGTTGCACCTGGGAAGACAGCTGATTGAAAAGGGGAAGAGCTATACTAGCGGGCGATTCAACGGGTCGCGAATGGATTAGGACCTTCGAGTGGACTGGACGCGGAAGTGATAGGCTAGTGAGGGGTGGCGTCCCTATCATGCCTTAAGTGAAGGAGCCGGCCCTATTGCAAGCACGCCTCTGCAACTCAACGCCAGCTGATAGGTCTTGCCCTGCTGAACTTAGCGCCGAGGCTTCCCACTCCAGCATCCAATCCCTACCACGTCCCAAAGAGCCAACCGCATCGTTACCCGCTTAAAATCGCTCAAAGGTCTTTAGGAACGGCTTTGCGTGCAGCAATGTGGCCCTTATTCGACACCGTATGGCTCACTAATCAACCCCGAGCGCTCACGCTCACTTTCTTTTCAATGTCGCCACAACTCTATCATTCTAGAATACAGACTTATCTCACCTTTTTATTCCCTCAGACCCACATACATGCATAGGGTAACCGAATAATGTACAAATTCCGATTTCCATTCCCAATATTTCAGATCACCGCCGCAACTGACGTTCGCATCCCCCCTAACTATCTCCTCTGGAGAGCTCGACGCACTCTGCGCCCGCCGCGCCTGAACTCTTGATAACGCCTCCTTACCTGCCTAAGAGACGAAAACATTTCCAAATTCAAACATGTGAACTGGCGATACAGGTAGCTATATACCAACGAATCCAATACATGACGCAGCCTCTAAATACGACTCCCGACACTATTAATTTGGGGACCGACTGGCGAAAGGCTACTTAAGAGGACTCCTATTATGCTCATACACATCTTTCTGCCAACGTGAATGTTAAGGCTCAGACAAGAAGATGAAAGAGAGTAAGCAGATGTGAAGTACCTCTCATAATCCCCCGCGCATCCCAACAGAATAAACACTGGAAAGCAATTCACACACAAGGCCAGAGCTAAACTTAAAATACTGATTAACAAAATGACATACGATAACACAAATGAATCCCTTCTCGCACAAATAATACCTCGAACCTCTTCGCCGCCCCGATAAACCCCGACCGCGCGCTAACCACTCACTTGCCTATCAATCATAAACGACAGCGACCTAGCAGCCCAAGGGCGCGTAGCTCTCACCCACAACACGCTGCACCTCCAGACTTTTTATGATCTTATAACCAAATTATCCACAAACTCCTCACTGTGATTAGCTCACAGATGAACTCGGCCACCACCCTCACCTCCATACCCTCCTCATCCTTCCCTCTCCGCTCCTTCGCCCCAGAGTCATGCCTAACCTCGCTCATCCAATACCACGAAGTAGCACGCAGTTTCATGCTGGGCAATGACATCCTACCTCGCTACGTACAATCCACAACGCCCCAGGGCCAGCTGGTTCCTCGTTCTTGGAGCCCTGAACTTCCAAACTATATCCTCCACCCTGACCTCGATCAATGGTCTACACACCTGTCTCCTCACACAGCACCACTCTCTCCCACCCTCGCCCCCCAAATCCTTCGCGCATCATATCTCACTGACTCCACCCATACCCCCCCGCCCTCGGGACAAGACCTCGTCTCGCCCCTGTCTTCCCTCTCCTCCTCAGCCCTAATCCAGCCACTCCTTGATCATGATCTCATCACCGGGCCGGCATGTATCCCCAATCATTCACCAGCACCAACGATCTCGAATGATCTGACTCTACCTATATTACGTCTCCTACGATCAGCAGCAGGCTTTCTCGTCCCACCCCGCGGACATATCTCTTCTGACTCAATATACACCGGACCGACCGCCTTCTCCGCATATTTACAACCATCTGGACAACACACCCGCGTCACGCCGCATCCCTCGCTCTCTGTCCTTCGATGCTGCGACGCCCCGCTTTTCTGCGGTTGAGTGCCATCTTCTCTGCTCATCTTGACCAGATTCACTCTCGCGCCCTGGTTCCCATAGAGTCGGGTCAAATCCCATTTATACCAACCCACCTCCTAACAGCAGCGATCTCTCCAGCGTACTGCAGTTCCCTCAGATTTCTTTCCACCTCACCAACCCGGGGGACAAAGACAAGACAGGGATGTCCTCTGTCACCTTTGCTTTTTGCAATTGTAATTGAACCACTGGCGTCATGTGTGCGAGACAACATAAGTATTAAAGGAGTGAAGATTAACGATGAACACAAAATGTCTCTGTATGCTGACGATATCATTCTTTACTTAACAGACCCAGAAAATTCAGTACCACATCTGCACGACACGATAGAGCAATTTGGAAGATACTCAGGATATAAAATTAATTTTAAGAAATCGAATGCTTGTTTCTTACATATGACGCCAACAGCAAATCTGGAAAAGTCTTGTTCTTTTAATTTGTCACCAGGTGGCTTTAAATACCTAGGAATAAATATAACACCACACCTGGATAATCTGTTTAAAGAGAATTACAATCCGCTCATTGACAAAATCAAAAAGGATTGATCCAAATGGTCCACATTACCAATATCACTGCTAGGAAGAATCAATGTCATAAAAATGAATATTCTACCGAGATGTATTTTTCTTTTTCAAATGTTACCACGCTATTTATCCGCTGATTATTTTAAATCTCTCAATAGACACATCTCAAAATGTATCTGGTGTAATAAAAAACCAAGAATCAAGTTAATTACTCTTATGAAACCAGAAACCATGGGGGGTCTTGGTCTTCCCAACTTTCAACACTACTTCTGGTCAGCTCAATTAAGAAATGTACTATCTTGGTTTCTGGGAAGATTCACTATGGGTTCAGATAGAAGCCAACGTCTTTGACCCGTTGCCAGTGGAAACTCTTATATTTGTTAAAGATTTCAATAAGGTGAAACATATGGCCAAATGTTTTACAGTGGTCAATACACTTTTAGCCTGGAGGGACTGTACAAAAAATTCATGTTAACTTTGGTATCTTTTCTCCTATTTTGAACAATCCTGATCTTAGCAAATATTTGTTGTCAATCAATATAAACAAATGGACGAAATCAGGTATAAAACAATTGAAACATTTGTTTCACAAAGATATAACATTGAAATCATTTAATGATTTGAGAGCAGAATATGACATTTCAAATAAGGATTTTTTCAGATACCTGCAAATTAGGAACGTGTTCCAATCAATTACCAAAGGCAATAAATTGAGATCGGGATTGTTGGAAGAGGAGGAGATATTGATGTCATCGAGCACAATCAAAGTGAAATTAGAGAATTTAATGCAGTTTTTTCTAAAAGAGCTCATTCATGCTTTCCAACTTTAAAAAAGATCTGGGAAAAGGACTTATGATACAGATAGATGAAACTACTTGGCGGAATATCTGTGAAAGAACACATTTTCCATTCACAAGCAATAAAATCAAAGAAGCAAACTTTAAATTTCTCAACAAATTTTACCTCACACCCATAAAGATGCATACAATTTCCAAAGAAAACTCTCCAAAATGTCCGAGATGTAAAGTAAAAAAAGGAACATAAAAATATAATCGTGGACATATCTTTCAAGCTCTGTGGTTGCCATTGTTTTCTTATTTGGAAAATATATGGTGCATCCTGTGGCTATTTTTCCTGACGGCCGGAAATACTAGTTGTGTTGTCATTGTCTATATTGTCGCTGTATTGTGTATTTAATTGTATAATTATCTGTTTGTTTTACTTTGATGTGGGTTTTTTTTTTTTTTTTTTCGTTTGATTTTTTTTTTTTTTCATGACTCTGTTGTTTAAGTTATATCGATAAGCATTATTTTTTTTAATTTGGTTTCGCCCGTGTGGGCATGTGCGGGTGGAGGGAGGGGGAAGTGTAGTGAGTGTACTGTGATATTACAATATAAATGAAATGGCATCAACTACTGTACACTATAATTAAATAAAAAGACTTGGAAAAAAAAAAAGAATTCATGGCAGGTTGTTGATATATCCCTGACCAAAGTGCTGCACCAACAGACAACATTTTCTACATTCACTATCTTATAATCTGTTATGTCTGAATGCTGTGTTTGCTGTCTCTTAGATCTCTGTTACAGAGAGGCAGACAGAGTGAAACACTTCAATACATTTGTATTGTTATTTTTAGCAGGCACATATAGGGAGAAAACCATAAGTTCTTCACCTTGTAATGAAACAAATCCATAACTTACTGTATGGTCATACATGCACAAACCACCAGTCCTTCAGGTACCCCTGTTGCCATGGTAACCTGCAACAGGGACACTCCTTCCTCAATAAGCTCTATCGTTAATCTGTTGTGTCTCAGTTGTATGGGGTTAATGCAGCTAAAGGTTTTGGCCCTTTACTGTGTGTATTTCCTGCGGAAATGCAATGAGAAATGGAGACACAAGGCTGACTTCAACATCAACTCTGCCCCTGAATATGACTAACTCTATTTATAATTAATAAATACATTTATAATGGATTCAAAGTTCTGTATAAATCAGAGAACGCAGTCGTATATGGGATGACAGATAGCTGGTGTTTTTTCTCTCTTCATAATCAGAGCTCTTAATAATCTCTGCAGCACACAAGCCTTTTTTTGTTTTATGAGCAATGTGAAGACCTGCAGGGGGTTTGCACAGAGATAAATATCTGATCTAGGTTGTGACTGTAACTTTATGCAGTATAATGACTATGTATCTCCTCATGGGCCTGATTATTCATTGGAATTGTGTTCCTATGAGGATAGGAGCAGGGGAGAGGGATGGAGATGGTTTTCCTCACAGGCAACTTCATTAAGTGTTGAGCCCCTGCGTACATAACAGCCACATTTACTGGGATATGAGATCTGCTGGACCAAGAATTATACCTGAAGTCAAAATGCTAAATATAATATTTTTCCAGGATGTGAGGAAGTGTCAGGCAGGGAAACAGTGTTACGTGAATCTGACACAAAAGTGTTTTAATAAAGAAAACAATTAAACCTAAAGCTACATGGACTTCAGGGTTCAAACATCCATTGTTTTCTGTAAACATTTTTGTAATTTATCATTTTATATCGCCATACAACATATTTTTAAAACAGCTCTGCTTTTGGTTTCCATACCAACTCAGAGTGATGTAGCTGCCCCAATGGCCAGCGTACCAGAGGAAGAAAATCACCAAAAATGTTGGTAAAAGCCTATTTCCCTAAACTTAGTGGTGTTTAAATAGCTGTGGACAATTACTGTTCGAAGTGGTTGGTATTTCCAAAAAGAAAAAAACATAAAAATGATTAAAAGCATATTTCTCCAAATATGTCTTGCAGTATAACCAGTAAATGTGTGAAGTTATTTTGCTTGTGTTTTACTGTATAACTATGACTTACTTGTAATTATTGAATATTTCCATAAAGAATATTTAACAAATGTATCAAAGGCACATTGGTTAAATTCAGAGGTAGGAAGTAACTAAATACATTTACTCAAGTACTGTACTTAAGTACAATTCTGAGATACATTTACTTGAGTATTTCCATTTTATGCTACTTTGTACTTCTACTCCACTACAATTCAGAGGTAAATCGTGTACTTTTACTTGACTACATTTATTTTGTACTTGTAGTTACTTTAAACATTTGGATTAATGATGTGAAATATAATTAACATTGGAGTAATATTCACTACAGTATCTAGCTACCCTGCAGTATACAAAGTCATTAAAACTAGCTGCACCTTTGCCAGCTTTGATAAACACTTTAATGTATCAACAATTATAATCAAAACATATAATATGTCTTATTCTAAAATTGACCAATCTGCATAAGTACTTTTACTTTGGTACTTTAAGTATATTCTGATGCCAATACTTTTGTACTTTTATTTTAGTAACATTTGAATGCATGACTTTTACTTGTAACAGAGTATTTCTACACTCTGGTACTTTTACTTTTACTGAAGTATTTCTCCCACCTCTGTTTAAATGTAACCAGCAGAGCAGTCCTACTCTACAGATGACTCTATAATCAGCACACCTGGCTGGGTGCACTTCCCTCTGCGCGCGCAAGGGGTCACTGTGACGTCACACTGGAGCATTGAATGGATAGGTTGCATCGGTGCACCTTTCACACTTTGCCTCACAACTGTCATCACGCTGTCTGCAGCTCGTGTTACACACTGCATAGAAGTGGTACAACGAACCAGTTATGATTAAATAACAACAAAAAAGGAACGGAATACTTAATTCAGAGGTTCGTTGAGAAAAAAGAAGGGACAAAGTGAGCGTCACGAGAGGGCGGGCCGCCACCTGTGACGGAGGACGAGTGGAACCAGAGTCCCGCTGTCAGTGCTGTGAGGCGTTCACTGAGTGTGTTTGAGAGTGTGTTTCTGCGGCTAAAGTCCACCTGGATTATTTTGAGCTCAGTGTCTTTCTCTTCGAAGAATTTGAACACGATTCAGGTGAGGCACACTTTCTTGACACGACCGTTTGTTAGATAAAACCCACAGAAAAATCTATTTTCTTAGTAGTGAGTGTATCTTCGTGATACCTTTTTTTAAAAAGTATTTCTACTGTGTCCATGCAGTGATAGTGGTGTGGTATACTCGTTTCTCGCCGTGGTTCAGCCTATTTGCAATCTCCTAATATATTTATGACAGTTATTAAATGGTCCTATTAAGACTGATTATGATATTTACCCTCATCAAATAAGGGGTTGGTTTTCGTTTTCGTTATAAGGGAATTTGCCGGATGGTTGCACCAATTCCGACAGGTGTAAGCCTATCTGGGGAAGGAATTTGTCATTAATGTGTGTAAAAGTAGCTTATTGTTGCATTTGAAACACCCAGTGACACATTATGTGAATTATTGCTTCACTTTACTGCATTAATGCGTTACAGCTCAACATGGTTCAGTGGACTTACTTTGAATCCGTGTGGGCGAACTGAGCAATATGCAAAGTAAAGCTGCAGCCTGTGATTCATATAAAAAACATGAGGCAAGAAGAACAGCTGTGGTTAGAGTAGATCAGCTTTAAACATACAGTGATGATGTTGAAGGTATGAAGAGATGATTGATCTGTTGAATCTGGGTATCAGCCGTTTCCTGTCCAAGCTGATACTCTTTACAACTATGATCTAATCATTCCATGTAAAGGGACACCCAGTGAACACATCTACCTGCTTGGTCTTTAAAGAAAACAAGGCGTAGAGGTATGGCAAGTGGATGAAAGGCTTGTCAAATATGCAAAGATGCTGCCATTTGACACAAAGTAAATAATTGTTATGTAGATAGTGCCTTTGATGCTTCTCCCCCATTCTTCAAAGGGTACTAGTTCAGCCCATATTTAAATGTTAGTCTTTAATAATGATGCTTTTATAATGACTTCAGCTATGCCTTTAGTTGTTAACTTAATATTCAGCTGCAGCCACTCATTGGGATTAGCACAGTTGAATAAAGCAACCATAATACTTCCTAATGCAATCTATTATCCACACTGCAAACATGCTTTTTCTTCTGCAAAATCACAACAGTTGTTCCACATACCAAATACATGTTTATATAATATTGTAATTCTGTGTCTGTTCACCAATCAGAATCAGAATACCTTTATTCGTCCCAAAGAGAGAAAATGTAAATTTATTACAGCAGAAAAGAGCCAAATATAGCTTCACATTAACTATTGCCATTTCTATTGCCTTTCTTTAGTAGAGATGGAATTCATCCTCTGTTGTTTTTGTCCTCACCAAATGAAGGTGTGCTTCTCATTTACGTATTCACAAACACATTCACACACAAATGGTGGGGGGGGTTTCCCCATCAGGAGCAGCTTGGGGCTCAGTATCTTCATCAATGACACCTCGACATGCGGACAGTAACATCCAGGCATCAAACCTCCAACTTTGTGTTCAACGAAATAACTACACTATATTTAAATGTAATTGCCAAGCCGTTACCTAACAGCATTCACAATGAAAATATCCTGACCCTAAGGAGTGAAGGTGGTGTTTTCTGCCCAGACTGAGAAGCCCTTTGAGGCAAATGTGGGATTCTCTGACATGGCTGAATGGAGTGTAAGCTTTTGAGTGAGATTGAATCTGGCTTTGGAGAGTCTAAACTTCTCTCTAGAGACCTAAAAAACAAGAATCTTAGACTTTAGACTCTAAACTATTGCCACATTTGGACGGCCATAAACCCAGAGAGAACCAGCTGCGGAAAGATTCAAACAAATGAGCTGTGAGGTTGTGTTGTGCACAAAAATAAATGATAGTTACAATAGTTTCAATGTTGTTTGTGGTGTTGTCAGATAACTACAGTTTCTGTTTAAAGAGCCTAGTGTTGCACTCACAATGTGACTGTATAAAGCATAAAGCTACAGTGGGATGTTAAGGTTCAATTCAGTGGGCTTCCTGTTGTCTGTCTGTGAAACAAAAGTGTTTTAAAGCAGTATGCATGCAGCTCAATGGCTTTGGCTGTCATCATTTCTACTATTTGTCTCTTTCACACACATATCCAACTCAAAAACAGAGAGTTTCAAGTTCTTACGGACAATCGTGGTCTGTTGATGGTGCTGTCACCGCAGTGCTCCAATCTTTTGCATTCAGGCAGGTTTAATAGTAACTTTATAATTGCCTGATAAAAGCCATCTCTGTGAAAAGATGTCATGGGACTGAGAGCTGGCAGTGTGTTTGGAAGGCAGTCAGATTAGAAAGGTTAGGTAGTGAGTGATAGAGTCTCTGTGATTTCCTCTGGGTAAGCCCTAACTTTGTTTTCAACATGTTTCGACTGGTGTGCTCAGTGGCCAATTAAGTATTGAAAGCTTCTGCATGTAGGGGTCTGGGGTACACTGATAAAGCTGGGAGTAATGGATTTGAGATAAAAGAGAATTGAGAATGACACAATTACTGTCCCTTTGCTCTGCGCTGCTGGACTTTCCGCTAGCATTTTACCTCCTGCATCGCTGCAATAGATTCTTCTTCCTCTCGGGATTATAAGACCCCTGAGGTTGACTGACAGACTGATTGACTGGAAGGGTTTAGACCCTGACAGCCCGATTGAGAGAATTGATGTGCATCAGTCGGATAAACGACTTCTGAAGAGCCCCTAAGTGCCCCTTCTCTGCCACCTTTTAAGGGAAGCTTCGACAAGACTGGGAGGGAGTGACACACCTTTACAATGTTTGACAGTCCGCCTCTGAGAGGCAGCACATCCTGACAGAGAGTCTACGACTGAAGTAATTGGAGTCCCCAAAGTATATTTCCATCCTGGCAACAAGATGGAGCCATAAAAACATTTCAAAAGTAATTTAGTCTGGTGAAAAAGTATTATTTCCTAAATGGCTACATTTCATTAACTTGAGAAAGCGGTGTTGTTATCACTGTGTTTTGAGATTTTCCTGATGCTTAGAGAAATGAATACTTAGCTTTTCTATTGTTTTGTTGACTCCAGTAAAGTGGAGATATCCCTTTGCTGACATCTGAAATCTATCAATGCTTGAAAACTTAGTTGACTTTTATCTCAAACATCCTTTCTGTCAAAATGATTTGCCATTAGGGTTGATTTTTAAAAGCTCTTCCTTGCAGGTGTATTCCAACATCCTAGACTTAACCTTCAGCTGCTAAGAACTACATTTTTTTTTTAATGCAAAAAACGAATGAGTTAAATGTTTCAGCACTAAACAAATTCACTACTCATGTTGACGTATCTTTTTAGTAATGCCTTTGTGTTCTTGTTTCTGACGATATAACTTGTGACTACAATGGCTTTTTGGCCGCTGGCCCAGCTCAGGTGTAGTAAGAAGTTGTTTTTTGTGAAAGTTCACATATAAAGTGTTTAGGAGTGCAACACTCCATGAAAGTCTTACATAGTTCTTGTGTCCTGTGGGTGGAGCAGTGGTAAGAGGTGATAATATCATCAGTGTTTACAGTACTTACAGCCCGTCCTCCTGTTACTGCCTACTGTTAAACTAACAGTACATCTCTTTCCTCCACACCTGCATGCTGCTGTGTGTGTCGCCGTTACATTATGAAAAGCCGACCGTTGTCATGGTGTCAGCCCTGAGGGACTGCTCTGACTTTCTCTGAGCTAGCAGTCAGGGTCACTTGTGCTAATAGCTTCACTTTTCAACTCTTTTTTTATTGCATCCATGCGTGTGTGTGTAAATAGATTTAGTGTGTATGTGTGTGTGACGTGCATGTGATAGAAGGAGCAAGCAGCCTGCTTGGATGTTCAGCTCTTTAGTGTGACAGAGAGGAGAGGAAAGCACTAAAGAGTGTGACTGTTTACATTTGAAACTGGTGAGGCGTTACGTTAGAGACGAAGGTTGACTATAAGAGAAATAGAGAGGGAGCGATAAATGTACGGTTACTGTTTGACAGATGAGACAGAAATGCACTCCTAAAATGCGATGCATTCAATGACGCAAGGAACATTTATTTTGACAAATCCGTTAATCCCAGATTTCAAAGAATTTTAAGACGTCTCGAAAATGTAAAAATTCCTAATGAGATGGAGACTTGCTGTCCGAAAACCTATTGGACAGTGAAGGACACACACACACACACACACACACACACACACACACACACACACACACACACACACACACACACACACACACACACACACGTTAACATTCCTCCAGATGAATGTGGTTAAGGTCAGTGATGCACCGTGGTAGGACATGTATTTCCAATGTTGGTGTGTGCGCTGGTGCATCTGATGGTGACACAAACACACTCAATCTCCTCCTCTCCTTCACTTCTATAAAAAAATAAGCTCTCGTCCTGCAGTTACGACATTGGCATTCACATCACAACACGAACACACACACCACACTTCACAGTCATTATCCTCATGGATTCTGCTCCTCAGGTATGTCTGCAGTTTGAACTGGTTTCACACCTTATCGATCTGGAGTGCTCCACATCTCAGTTTAATCCTCAAGTGTTTGTGTGATATCGGCATGTTGTTCTCTTTGACAGCCCTTGTTTGGTTAATGATAATTACAATGATTTGTTTAGACTGTTTAGCTGCTGCTCACACACTGCAATACTTTGCAACACAGAGAGCCGGCCCCAGTCTCACACAGCACCATTGATCTGCAAAAACCCCCCAATATGTTATTGAGCAAATGCCCTTTGTGTCTCTTTCGTATCTCTGTCGTCATCTTACGAAATCCTCCGCTTCAGCTTATTTAATGTGTTGCTCAACTTCAGCTATCCTTCTTTTTGACTTGTTTTACTTTTCAGTAGACACTTGCAGTCATAGTGCCCACATAGTGCCCACATGTTTCTTCCTTTTTTGACATGACTACTAACACTGTTGTTTTTTTTTTATTTTCCAGGTTCCTTTGGTCCTGTCCACAGCACTGTGAGGGAGGTTGCCAGTGCCAGCAAGTGTGTGTGCATGTGTGTGTGTGGGAGTGAGTCGTAGGTTGAATATGTTTGTGTGAGAGCCTTTGAGTTGGAACACCGTGGTCGGAAAGCGTGTCCCATGAGACGCTGGACGGAGATGCGGGGGGCTGGATCCTCTGCGATGCGCCTCCTGCTGCTGAGCTGCTGTGTGTGTGCTGCAGCGGGGTACCCGTTCAGAACGCCTCTGGACCTGGATGTGACTCCACGCGTCACCGTGTTGCGGAGCGGTAAGCACAAACACAAGCAGTTGTTTCTTTCTCAAATCTGCATAATTATGAACAGTTTATGGTGTGTCAAATTTCAGTTTTCTGGTCATTGACCCTCAAACTTCTATCTGGTTTTGGTGAAATACCTAAATATGACTCATAACTTATTAATGCTGTGTTTTACATTCAGACCAGGTGTAGAAACTCTTTATTTACTCAGCCTCTTCCTGTAGTAGGTGCCTCTTTATCTCAGTTTCCTTTTATTTTCCCGCTCTTCTGACACAGCTTCCTCTTCTTGTCCATCGTTAAAAGAATGGAAAGATAGCTTGCACATATACCTGCTTGGTTATTCTGACACCTGCCTCTTCTGTAAATCTTTTTTCTTTTGAGCAAACTGTGATTATTCTCCATTCACCCTGCATGAGTGATGGCTTGTAAGCCGAGGTGTTACAGAGATAGAGGCAGATGAGTGATGAGCTTACTCTTGGATCCCTGCGGAGCATCAGGGAGACTGACACCACTGTAGGAAGTTCATAAGCAGTGTTACCATGACAACTGTTGTAGTATGGCGCAAAACGGCCTTTTACAGTATGTTTGTTGTTTGTTTGTGTGTGTAGGCAAGTGTTTGTTTCTACTCTAAAGACTGCTGTTATCTGATCCTGTACTTTTATTGTTGGTACACAGACATGTTCTCACGTTTCCACTTTGACTCGCTGGCTGCAATTCACTTTATAAGATCTACTTCATCTTCCCTTTGTCTAAACAGATGTCTTTCTTACAATACATTACCCACTTACACTCATTATCTATCTTTCCCCCCTCCTCTTTCTATAAACCTCTTGATACCTTTATCTCTGTTTCTGTACATCATCTGTTAGTGCACCTCCCTCCCACAGGTCCTCCTCCAAGACTCAGCTCCGTCACTCTCCTCCACTCTCCCTCCTCCACCATCAATCCCTCTACCTTTGCCCCTAAGCTCTGTCTCTTTTCCTCCATTTTTTTCTTCATTAGTTTGTACTTTTCGTGGTTGCACTGCCCTCTTTTTAATCCCATTACCTCGCCTTTACCTCAAGTCTTTGTTTCCTTTTCTTCCCCCCTCCCGATGAGAAAATTTTGGTATACAAACTTACCTCTAATCCATTTAATCTCTGTTTCTTAGCAACCCAAAAAGCAAAGACTCCTCCAAACCTGTGTGGGGTAGTTCAATCAAACACACACACAATTTTTACGATTTGATACATTCCAGTGCTCATGAGGGTAAACGCTGGAAACACTAAGATTTAGCAGGTTGTGAAAAAAGGAAAGATTGTTGAATCTGCCTTCACAATACACACACTGATTTCAACCTGACAATTGTTTTGGGGGAATAACAGTCTGTGGCTTACTTATTCAGAACCACCCGTAGGCCCGCCCGTCAGAAAATTCAAACTGTAAACAAGCCCTGACACTGGAGTGTGAATTCGCATATAAGGCTGTCACGTCACAGCCAGTCACCTAGAGGTTCAGCGAGTGTGTGTGCTTGCGTGTGTGTGTGTCTGAACACTGTGTACTTTGCTGATCAGCTGAGGTACCTCCAAGTGTTTGTTCAGTAAATAATATCATCTGGGCGTCTCTCTGCCCTCTTTTTCTTTTCCCATAGAATGAATCAAACGGGTGTTTTCTTGCACGGTCTTATAAGCTAAGGCTAAAATGTGCTGTCAAATACAGTTAATAAATCTTCCATTGCTGCGTCACACTTTCTGTGAGGTAGTTTTCCGTTACATGGCTCCAGCTGTCAGGCGATGTGTGTTCTAATACTTGGATTACACAGAAGAAAAACCCAGGCTTTGTCTCTGCTGTAATGCATTTTCCTCACTAACAATGAGGACCTCGTATCACGTAGGTAAAGCTATTGTTCCGAAAATCCTATAAAGCTAAGACTCTCCTTCCTCCTGCTGAGAATGAAGGAGGACAAGTAAACACCTGTTCACTCAGGAGGAGCCTTGGATGGAATCTGACTCCTGCTGAAGTTAGAGGAGAGGATTGTGTTTTGCGGCGGCTGATGGGAATCTTAATGAAAGCGTACTTCATAACCATGCAGTCTTCGGTGAGGATGCTGAGGGGCTGAGGTTTCAAGAAGGCCAACACTTTTCTTTTTGGCCAAGTGGAGCTACTGCATTTAACAATAGGCAGTAGAAGTGACTAGCTTTTAGGTTTCCTCAGCTGATAATGAAGCCTGTTCAGCATAAGTCACGTCAGACATTTGTTTTGTAATGTTCTCTGTTTGGTCACTTCACAGTTGGAGATGTTGTGGTTTTAACATGCCTAGCTGTTCTTTATAATGTGTGTGTGTGTTGCCAGTGGTGTCATGTTAACACAAGCTAAGTGGAGTCATGAACGATCGTATGTTTAGAACTTACGTAACCCTCTGACATCTCATGATCGCAGCCAGTGACTTCATAAATATGTCCTGCACGCGTTTATATACTGTATGTATGTGTGCTGTATAGCATGTCTCTTTGCTGAGTGTTTGTATGAGTGAACCTCATTAGTATCTGGTCCTGTCAAAACAGATGCATCCCAATATAGCGTGGAAAAGTTGACGGGGGACATGCACTCAAAGCAAAGAAAACTCAAACCACAGAAACCCACATTAAGTCGACGTGGACCTCTGATGTTGTGTTGGGCCTCTTTTCATTACCTCTTCCTCAGTGGAGCTCTGTAGAATGAGCATAATCCCCTTAACTTGAATCTTCCATGGTTGGGTTTTAATTTCACTCTGGTCAGGGCAATATAGAGCTATATATAAAACTGAGAAAAGCAGAACATTTGGTTTGTGATGCTGGAGCCATAAGATGTGTAAGGAGATGTATTAATGCCCCACTGGGCTAATATGTATGGAAATGGTCCACCAAAAAAAAAAACGTATTTTCCTTAATGCTACTAGTGATAACTATTGGATGACTTGTCATGAAGTGAAAACATTTATGTTCAGTGATGCTGAATGAATTTGTTTGTCCTGTTATGTTTCATTTTCTCTGTGTGTGGCTATCTTCATGTTCCCCTTAGGAGGAGTTTTGTGAACTTTGGTGATCTCTGATTTTTCATAAATCGCCATTATTTAACCCAAATGTTTCATTATTTTGGTTTATAACCTAATTGTTGGAGAAATATTTTCAAAGGTCCATAACTTTGACCCAGTTTATCAGTTCAAACTGTCCTGACTGAGCACACACACCTGTAACCTTGGTTGCTGTGCTCTCAGTGTTCTGTCCCCCTGTTCCTGGGGGACAGAACACTTGTTGTTATTACCTTTTTTTTTTTTAAAACAGAAATTCAGGAAAATAAAATTGTTTTGTTTGGTTGTTTTGATGATGGAACACCAGGAAACAGGCATAAAGGAAATGTCTTCCTAAAATGTTGCATCTGTCAAAAAGCAGCTCTTGATAATATATCTTGCATTTCCCATTTTGTTTGGTACTGTGTATTTTTCCTATTTCTGAATAAACACAGGGGGCGTTGAGGTCATATACTGTAAAGCAATTCTCTATGCAGCTGCAGTATAATGGAGTTTAATAGAATCGTTTTTTCAAGCAGTCTTAAAAAAAAAAATTCTAAAGTTTGTCCCTGAGATTCAAAGAGCGGGGCCTTCTTAGCGCTTTGCTCTGACGTTTGGCAATCATACAGCGAGAAAGCCATTACAGAAGATGAATAGATTTCTATTGCTCCTTTTTATCCTCATACTGTCAGGTATCTGATGGAAATAACTGTATGTATATTAAGGGGCTTTCCAAAGGCATTCACTGGGATGGGTTAGTGTACGAATATCTAGGTTTTTTGTGTTGAAATGATCCATCAGAATCCAGATGAATATATGTTCTGTTAATAGCTACGCGCACATGACACCGTATCTCTCCATCCTCCCTACAGAGAATGAAAAGTCAACATCTTGAGTGTCTGAGAAGATGCCAATGTGAACAGAGGACGCTTTTTCTCTGAAAAGTTGTTTTTGTTAACCCACAGTTTTCCCAAAGAGACAACCCATAATCAATGGCAGCAGAGGACAGTGTTTGTGCTGAGAAATGCCCAGGTGGCAGTGTGTGTGTGTAGCCATGAGACTGAGTGGCTGTTTCTGACAATGGCATTGTCCACAAATCACACAGTGGATCCAATACTCCATATCATCTGATTTCTGAGGAAGAACAATAAAAGGAGACAGACTGGAACAACATTTCTATTGGTTTTCGCCCACACTCCTATTCAGTGCATTTCATTGGTGATTCAGCCTGTGTGGTGGATGTCTCTGATGTGTTTTGTAAATTACATTAGAGGCTGCTTTAATAAATAGATGTAGCAGAAGCAGCCAAGGGGTTACAAAAGATCACATTCATTACAATCCAATTCTCCTCTCCTCTCCTCTCTTCTCTTCTCTTCTCCTCTCCTCTCCTCAGGTCTCCAGGGCTGCAGGCGTTTCCAGTTGTCTGCATCCAACTACAGCACCATGTTGCTGGAGGCTGACGGTGAGCGTCTCTACGTCGGGGCCCGGGGGGCTGTATTCGCTCTGAATGCCTCTGACATTTCATCCAGCTCTGCTCTCACTGTGAGTTTATTTTGTTTCTCTGATGCTGCAGGTCGTGCTCCTCCTCAAGCTATAGCTGCCACGGCTTCGTTTGCATTCCACAGTGCAGGAACTTTTTGAGGCAACCAAATCTCATTTTAGGAAAAACTATTTATTCCCAAGACACCCCTTGTGTGTGTAGTCAGATTACTTTAAACACAATTACTCACAGTTTCCCCACAGGAGCATGTTGCTGCATAAACTACATATTAATGAGAAAAGAAACACAAACTAGTGTATGTTCTCACTGTAACTTGAAATAGATACAGCTTTTGTGTTGATGTCATCCAAATGTTGAAGCATGTTGACACAGAAATAGTTTCTAATTCATACAGTATTTAGCATACTACCTCAACTCAGTGTTGGCAGTTTTAACTTAGCACCCCACAGAACCAACAAACAAGAGGCTGGTTTCAAATCTCATGACATCAGGAGTTACTCCAAAAACAATGCTTCCATTCCAGACATAAACCAGAAGAGTAGAACAGCTGCTATTTTTAGATTGATTGATTTTCATCATGGTCTTGTATTGTATTTCTGCGCAGGGTAGATGCAGAAAGCCACGGTTACCCGCCTCCACTGATCAATAAATGTGTCGCCTGGCGTCACCAAGTCAACTAGAACTCAAATCTAAATGACTTATAAATAATAAATCATGTCCTTTGATAATGGCAACGCTGCCTGTTTCCATTTCCTTATATTTGCTTTCCTGGACTGCAGCATTGATCTTGTTGTTAAGCAGGAAGATGTCGTTAAATTTGACCGTCTCTTTAAGCACCAGTAGAGGCTAAAAAAAATCCTCTTTCATTTGTCGTGCCGCTGTGTTTGTTACTTGACGACAACCTGACGTTAAGCTGATAGGCTAATTATGTTAATACAACATTGGTGTATGTCATAAAGTATAATTGCTGATGTGTGCGTCACTCCCTCATAAACAATTCTGCGTTGCCACCTTTAAATACGTTTCAATTTTCTCTGTTACATAAGAGTACACAAATATACTGCTGTCCAACAACAAAGTAAATTCCGATGCTGGTTGTGAGATCAGAATTGTTAATTATATGAATTATTAAAGCAGAAAAGAGATTAGTCTTTGTTTATCTGATGTATTCTGCTCAAATGTATGCAGGGCAGTGATATGAAACCATCTAACTTGCCTCTTTCTGTCTCACTGTATGTTATGTGATGTGTGTTAGATTGAGTGGGAAGCCTCCCCCGAACAAAAACGTCAGTGTCTGCTCAAGGGAAAAGACAATAAGGTAGGCATTTCGTTGTTCTTTCTCCTGAAGTCTTTTTACTTGATATTCCTCACTGTAATATGTTTTCTGACTTTCTCTTCCTCTTCCAGACGGAGTGTTTTAATCACATTCGCTTCCTCCAGAGGTTCAACTCCACTCATCTCTACATGTGTGGGACGAATGCCTTCAGACCCCTCTGTGCTTACATAGTATGTCAATGCAACACATTACAACACCTCCAGTGTTGTTGAGTATATATCATATTTGATTTCTTATCGGAATTATGTGGGGGTTTTCTGTTATTCCTCATGGCTGATTTCAAGGGGTTGAACATATTTCTCTTTCACAAATGTTTTTTTTAGGACGAGAAGAGGTTTGTGATGCCCTCTCAGCCTGAGGAAGGCAGAGACAAATGTCCATACGGCCCGACAACAGGCTACACTGCTCTCATCATTGGTAAGACTTTCAGGAGTTGTGAGTCACCTCCAGAGTTTTACAAAACAATAAAGAAGCTAATTCATTGATTTTCCTTCAGACCAGCAGATGTATACAGCTTCCCAGTACGAATTTAGGAGCTTTCCAGATATACGGCACTTCTCTCCGTCCCCCACACTGAAGACAGAGGACGCCCCCACACGCTGGCTTAATGGTGAGTTAACCTCGGGGGATAATACTAGCATGTTATGGTGGCAGATCTGCTAATGTAACCACAGTAACTCAGATCCTGATTCTTCATCACTTGATCTAAAGGGGACCTATCATGCTAAATGCACTTTTGTACGTCTTTTATACATGAATATGTGTCCCCGGTGTGTCAGGGAACTCACCAAGGTCAGAAAACACAACCCTTTCTCTTTTCCTCTATACCCAAATCTCTAAAAACGGGGCTGCAACAGATCTGATACAGACTGATCCAGATTTGAAATTGTTCTGACGCCAGAAACGGGGTGCTCCGCCTATATGGGCAACTCTCCACCTATCAGGGGAATGAGAGGTTGCGTGGCATGGTAACAGCATGGTAACAGCATGGTAACAGCATGGTAACAGCATGGTAACATGACGCTCCTGCCTCACCCCCCTCCTTTGCAGGGGGGCGTGGTCAGCTGCAGCTCATTTACCACAGAATCAGCCCTTGTGAGGACAGGGCTGGAATAAAGCAAATAGAGCGAAATGAGGCATGGCTAAAATGCATGATCTGTTTGGTATTTTGAAAAAAAAACTTCACAGACATGTTTTATATAGGTATGGCCCTGCAATATATTATTCAAATATAGCATGATAGGTCCACTTTAAAATACATGTTTTCCATTCGCTTACTTCTTACCCGTTGCTTCACACATTTTTAAAGCATTACAACTTACACTCACAATTTTGTTTAAGTCCAAATTTTATTTAATGACTTATATTATCCCTTGACTGATCCTCTAATACCACCAGTTAGACATACTGTATGTGGTGATAAGTACAGCCTCACAAAGCCCCAGCTGACTGCAGCCACTTATTTTTTGATAAAATCTCCCTCCATACAGTACACTTAGTTTAGGGATGAAATAGTCAAACAAATGTGGTGTTTTGCAGATAACTGAAGCATCTAGCATCATCTCCTTTTATCGCTCTACCATCTGTTCAGTGGATTCAAAATGTCTTAGTACTTGGATTTAAAAGCCTCTCCCCCATCTTAGAAGTAGCCGACAGATTAGTTTAAGATCCTTATCGACATTTTTCTCACATTTGACTGTTTTGGTGAAACAACTCGGGTAGTATATAACATAAATAGTTTGTTCAGGGCAACTCCAATACCCACTCTCAGGTCATACAAGCAGCATGCCAGCTGCTTTGTTAACGCATTCGTCAATAGGAAAGAAATATGTGTTTTCCTCCCATACAGAGGCCGACTTTGTGGGCTCGGCGCTGGTGAGGGAGAGCTTGAGCAGCAGCACGGGGGATGATGATAAGATCTACTACTTCTTCACGGAGAAGAGCCAGGAGCAGACGACGACCTACAGCCACAGCAGGGTGGCCCGAGTGGCTCGAGTTTGTAAGGTGAGTGCCGATTTAAAAAGATGCAGGATATGATTTACAGCATGGGAGCAGAGCCTTGCATCAGAATAGCTTGAGTGAAGTCTCGGTTGATGATAGGAGCGGCTGCTATAATAGATGAGGGGCTGAATGGGGAATGCATTTGAAACAGGCAGAGTGTGTTGCTGGTGTGCAGAGTCAGTGTGGCTCAGAGTGAGAGGGATGGATGACTGCAGGGGGAGAGACTGTTTAGCATCCTCTACTGCCTAAAACGTGAACGATGTGAATGGCCTGTTGCTCAGGAAGGACTTAAGAATTGTAATGACTCGCTGTACAGTGTAATGACCTTGTTTTTCTCTCGCGTTAAAAGGAAGTAATCTTTCAATGAAGTAAGCTCTCTGCGAAAGCTTGGAAGCATATTTGCTTTTTTCCTCTTTATAGAAATGCCTTGGGGCGACATGTGCAGCATTTGCAATTTGCCACAGGCTTCATGAATACAATTAGAAGTTCAAATCAAAGGGCAAGATGATGTCAGTTGCAGGATTTCCAAAAATGATTATGGCTTAGAGTCAACCTTCAGGTGTCAATCAAGGAATAAAACACACACATCAACAAACCTGTAGATCACAGGGGGGAGTCTAAACTATGGGGAGCCATAATCCTATTTGAAGTATCGGTATTGCTTTCCCATGCCATCTGTTTCTCTCTTTAGGAGGTTTACTTCCCCTTGTCTGTCACCTTGAGCCGAGTGTTCAGTTTGTTGTTCATTTACCCAGGCTTTACCTCACATAACCCTCTCTTCTCCTCTCCCTCCCCCCCCTCCTTCTTTCTTCCCACTCTTCTTTCCTCAGGGGGACCGGGGAGGCCGTTTAACTCTCCAGAAACGGTGGACGTCCTTCCTCAAAGCCAGGCTGACTTGTTCCCTGCCCGAGTACGACTTCCACTTCAACATGCTGCGCAGCGTGTTTGTCATGCCTGGCCGCACGCCGCAGGACACGCTTTTCTACGGCATTTTTGGCCTGGAGTGGTGAGTGATTTCTCAATCTCCGGCTGGGAATGCAAATGTCAAAGAGTGAGATAAAAAGACGAAAGGCAATAATCAATACATCGAGAAAGTCGAAGGAGACGGGGAGGAACGAGATAAAAGAGAGGCAAGACTAAGTGAACCTTTTCAACCCAACAATATGAGAAAAAGAAGATGGATGGAGGAGTTTTACAGCAATTTGAGGAGAGAATATTTATTAGAAATGCAGGTTTGCAGAAATGAAAGACAGTTACATACAAACTGGTTTCCTCCTCACTGAAGCTGATAAGAAAATACCAAAATAGAAAGTTGTACCTTTTTATGTAAACAACCTTGGTTAGCTAATGCCAGTGACAAAGTTATTTCCGGTGGCTTCTTCCCAATAAAAGCATTTCCATGGTCCCCAATGAAATCCTTTTAATGTGAAGCCATAGAAGCAGAACATGTTGGCTGTTATGGTCACGTTGGCCACTACAAAAAGCTAGTACTACACAGAGAGATAACCCCTGAATACATAAAATGCATGTATGATTGATTTCATAACAACGTGTAGATTATAACTGTAACAGCCCTTTCAGGAAACTAATTATCTTTCTTTCTCTATCAGCTTAGAAGTGAATGTTATTCCAAAGCTAAATGTTTTGTGGTTTGTAAAGAATGAACAAACAATGATTATCTTGTCTCCACTACACCTCTCTGAAACCTTTTTGTAGTTCCCTCCTCCTTCCCTCCTACTCTTCATAGAGATGTATGACTCCTAATAATCTCCGTACTATCTCTCGACAGTGCTCATCCCCTCCCCCGTGCTTTCCTCCCATTTTATCTGTCTCCATCTTTTAGGTGAGCCACTGCTCGACTGTACTTCTTCTGCCGTCCCTATGGCAACACTGGGTTTACTGCTGTTATTGTTCGTTGCCTGTGCTCTGGTCTTTTTCTCACTGTGTGTGTTTGTGTGTGTGTCGCTGTGTCTAGGAAAAACGTGAAGGCATCTGCGGTGTGTCGGTTTTCTCTGACTGAAGTCCAAGAGGCCTTTCAAGGACCTTACATGGAGAACCAGGACTCTGGCTCTAAGTGGAAGGAATACACTGGAAAGATCCCTGACCCTCGACCTGGATCGGTAAACACTCACACACACACTCACTCACACACAGAGGCTCCACTGCTGCCCCCTCAGCCTCTTAAACACTACATAAAGCACAGAAGAACTGTCTCACTAGTCTGTGGCCTTGGAGGATACTCACCAGAAAACTGTAACAGAGAGCAGATGAAAGTAAAGATGCATGAGTAAAGATGGAGGGAAAGTGATAGCGAGGATCCTCGAGGATGAAGCTCGACACACCACCAGCTTATGTCACTGAAACCCATTTCCATGGCGATTAACTCCAGCCTGTAGCTTTGGCGACAATGGCTTATTGCGGCAGTCTGGGTCGCAGCATCGTTCAGCAGGAGCAGACATTATCCACTGTAGTGTCACTGCAACACTTTGTAGGACTTCATTTTAACGTTGCTATTAAAAGGAAAAGGAGAGACGGTCAAGAGCTTTAAGTCGGGAGCGTGAAAGCCTCTTAGAGGAGCTGGCTGCAGAGAAGCCATTCCCTTAGTCAGGTGCTGAGAGAGCTGAGTCGCCCGCATGTCAGCTCAAAGCAGCTGCTTGACTTACACAGCCTCATTGTTGGCCATGTAAAAAGCAGCGTTTTCCCCAGACACTATTTTCAACAGGCATGCATTTTCCTCTTGATCCTTTAATGTTCCCTGCAGACCATCTCGCTGAGACTCATCACATCCTCCCTGCCTTCCACCATCCATCTCTATTTACAGAGAACTTTATTACAAATGAGATCAAATGTCTCTCTTCTCCCTGCAGCCCACGTTGTTACTTGTCCATCACCCTTCCTCTCATCGCTCTGTTTGACATATTTTCCCTGCAGTGTATAACTGATTCTCTGAGGGCCAGGGACATAAACGTCTCCACCTCCCTGCCTGATGATGTGCTGAACTTCGTCAGGAGGCATCCTCTGATGTCCCAGCAGGTCCAGCCTTCAGACAGACGGCCTCTTTTGTTCCGGCGGACCACAGACTACACACACATGGCCGTACACATGATCCAAGGCGTAGATGAAAACACATACCATGTATTGTACATGGGCACAGGTGTGTAGAAGTTACTGTGGGGTATTCATGTGTGCTATCTGTAGTAGTAACAATCTAAAACTCAAAGAGAATTGATTCCACTCCGGTTTGTAAGGCTGCATTTTTAATCACACTCATGGATGTTATAACCATCATTAGGGATCAACTACCCATCTTTCTAGTTTTAAAGGTTTGCATGTTCATTTATTTAGCATACTGAAATGAATACAAATCAATTGTGACTTTAAAGGAAGTACTATATTATGATGTATTTGACTTATTGACAGAAATTCCTATAACATTCAGCTTGTAGTAAAGGCTACCGAGTGTTTGTCCTTAAATGTTTCTCCTCTTCTGTATGCGTCTCTCAGATGAAGGCTGGTTACATAAAGCTGTCGAAATCGAGGGTCAGCTTCACATTATAGAGGAGCTTCAAATATTTGAAGAACCCCAACCTGTGAACAACTTGCTGCTGTCTGAAAAACAGGTAGTGGGTTGAACCATTACACACACACACACACACACACACACACACACACACACACACACACACACACACACACACACACACACACACACACACACACACACTACTAACGAACACACGACTACACTANNCTGCTGTCTGAAAAACAGGTAGTGGGTTGAACCATTACACACACACACACACACACACACACACACACACACACACACACACACATATCAAAGGAGGATCTTGGCCCTTCAGTTTTTAAATCCTCTCTCCTCCCACAGATGAGTGTTTACGTGGGCTCTCCAACCGGCGTGGTGCAGCTTCCTCTCTCTAACTGTCAAAGATACACCTCCTGCTACGACTGCGTGTTTGCCAGGGACCCTCACTGTGCCTGGAGCGGAGCCCAGTGTGTGGACGTAATGGCACAAACAAACAGGTGGGTGCTGCTGGCAGGTATTTGTGTGTGTGTGTGTGAGATCAGGTGACAGAAGTTACCCTTCAGTGTGTTTTTGATTTGACAAACGCCAAGTATTACAGCACCCTGTCACAGTGTCAGCTCTGGATCTGTTGCATAATCACAACGCTGGATGTTTGCTGTGATAGTCAACAAAGCATGTGTACTTAAAGCAGTGGTCACCAACCTTTTTAAGCCCAAGATCACCGACCTCGGCCTAGGTGAAAGGCGAGATCTACCTATTGCAGAATTGAGTGAAAAAGACGGCCCAGACAGTGCTTCCAATTTAAGGCCTTTTATATAGGCTAATTGCATTTGAATTACTGTTACAATGAAGGCTCCATAATCAGCTCACGGCATATAGGCAGGGGCAAAGTGCTATTGGGGGGCGGACCTCACCTCCTCTAGGGGGATCCTCACCTCCTCTAGGGGGGTCCGGTGGGATGTTCCCCCGGGAAGATTTTTTTTTAAATATTGAAGTTGAAAGCATCAATCTGGTGCACTTTGAGAGCAACATGAAGAGATCTATGGATTCCTCTCTCAGCACCCATATGAGACAGAACTGTAAACAGATTTTCTTTTTCTTTATGGATATTTTACAAATCACTCTCCTTTTTAAACTGTATTCTTGTTTTACTGCCATATACTGTAGTATTTCATACCTGTTTTTCATTTATTCTTTGTATTGTTTGTATAACTATGATCATATGAAGGTGTGCCGCGGAAATAATCTTTGTGTTGTCACAAAGATTATTTCCGCGGCACACCTTCATATGATCATAGTTATACAAACAATACAAAGAATAAATGAAAAACAGGTATGAAATACTACAGTATATGGCNTATGTTTATTATAACATTGTTCTGTGTGTCAAAATTAAAGACAGCCTACACACCTATCAATAATCAAACTGTGGGGTCTTATTTCATTACGTGTTGATTTCTATCAACACGGGGCGGGGAACGTTGTGATCAGCTGTTTTAGCGCAGTTCTCCAGTGAAGGGGGGGGGAGTCTCCCTCCGCAACCGGTTGGCGTAATTTTGGCACAATTCCGCTGTACAGACCGACGTTAACAGCAGCCCTTTCTGTGCACACGGAGACCGATTCTGTCGTCCGGTGATCTAACCGCCTTCTGGAAAAGCTTCACAAGTACCCCGGTACGCAAATGCGCTTTGTGACACAAGTGACGGTACGCATTTCTGATTTTTGCAGCGCACGCCTACCAGTTATGTGCACCCCTGGTTATAATGTTTACTTTTTTAAACCTTTGTGGAAAGGTTTGTGGCAGATATCCTTGGTTATTTGCGCCGGAACAAGCATTTCAATCCTTGACATCAAAAAAGGAGAAACCATGAAAATTGCAATGGAAGTGCAGATTTCCATAGTAAAGCTTCTTAAATAAAGTAAAATTGTTAATTATGAACACGACTTCAATAATTCACAACTATTACTGGTGCATACACATAATTTTAACGTAGAAGTTGGTCGAACTGTGAATCGTTTAATTACTTTAATATATGAAATGCATCTTCTTGCTTTAAATTATTATCTGTTGTATATAACATGTTAATCTGTAAAGTAGCTGGTTGATAAATATTGAAGTATAGGGCACAATGTTTATGTTTGCAATGTAGCGCAGGAGAAGTAGAAAGTGGGATCAAAGGAAAATACTGAAGTACCTCAATTGTAAATAAAGTACTTACTTTACTTCCCACGGTTGAATAATGCAAGGCGGAGACGTTACTGATCATCTTTAATGACACAACAGCCTCAAACATCAATAAATTAACATGTTGCTGAAAAACGAAAGGGAACAGCGTGTAATTTCCCTGTTAGTTGAGACTGAAAAGCTAAATATATATAGTTTACATATATATATTTAGCAATAGCATAATGTGACATTGACCCCTATGCAGTCACTGTCAGCATCAGAAAATAAGACCAAAGGACAACAAAATACTCAATAAACTTACAAAATGTTATAATATCCATAATTGGAGAATAAAGAAAATATGACCGCTGAGATTTATTGCATTATATTTAACAGTCAGACGATAAAAACCTCAAAAACCGTCACACGTGGGACTGAGCTGACTTCAGACGAGCCGAGTCTTCCTCTGGTCTCTCCGGCTCCAAATCATGTTGAATAAAATAATCATAGCAATCAGGAAAAACAATTATGCACCAACCTTTCTTAAAATGACGTTTGTTACCTTGAGATAGAACTGATAGATCCTGTTGACTTTTAAAAACAAATTATATTGATCTCCGATTCCACATTGTAGTATTTTATATTACTGTAGAGATATTAACTCTAAAAAGGAGATTATGGAATTCATATTTTCTTGCACGAAAGAGAATATCCATGCTCTTAAACAAGGACCATTTCATTCACTATCCAACTCAGTTTGTTTCCAGAGGGTTGTGAAGCTCGACTGCGGATGTTTTGAAAGAAGTATAAAGTTTTTTCCAGAAGGAGCATCTAATAAATGTCCTCAAGTGGGTCAGCGTCAGAGGACAAAGACTACGAGTTTAAAAAGTAAAAAAAATCTGGAAAGAGGTGAGATTACCAGACCTCTGCCTTAGCCGCTACGAGCATAACACACCTCAAACCTCTAGGCAAATTGTTGGCTGTTGAGTTGCATTGTGGGTAATGTAGGCGGCCGGTTTTTGACAGAAACGACGACGATACCTCTTGATTCTGACAGTGTTAAAGAAGTGCAATTATGAATGTTTTTTTTAAAGCGGCTGTAAGCACACTGTAAAAAATGACCCAGATTAAATCAAACACACCCTGAACAAATGAATAAAAAGGCAAAATAAAAATTTAACGACACGCTTTGTTGCGGTGGGATATTGGGCAGCATCGTGTGGAACACAGGAAGCGCCTCCTCCACTTCCTCCAGTTCCCCTGTTTGCAGTGCGGTGGGCAAACACAGCTCACAGGGTCCGTTCTCCTGACGTTAGATTCTTCTTCACTTCTTTTTTAACTGCAGTTTCCTCCCCATTTCCACCACACACTTTGTCTCTCTTTGTCCACCTCTCAGGTGCGTCTCCTCTTGGCTCCCCCCGGGCTCGCAGGGTTGGAAGACGACAGAAGTTTCTCCGCAGCTCGACTCCTCTTCCTTTTCTCCGCCTCTTTCCCTCCTCCTCCGCCTCCGCCTCCTCCTGCCGCTGCTCCTCCTCCTCCTTCACTCCCTCCCTTCTCCTTTTCCCGCTCCCGCTCTTTTTCCCGACTGCTGCTCGTTCGCTCCGACATCTTCACCGATGAGTTACTGCCTGAAGACAGAGAAAGAGAGACAAGAAGCAAATCATATTTACACAAAACCTTGTTAAGATATCAACATCGTATTGAAACAGATCTTCAAGAGTCCTCTCCTGCTGATGTTCAGGTGTATATCAGTATGTAGTGTCTCTACTTTAAAGAGTCCTCTCCTGCTGATGTTCAGGTGTATATCAGTATGTAGTGTCTCTACTTTAAGAGTCCTCTCCTGTTATGTTCAGGTGGGGGTGGTGTTTGTGGGGGTGTGTTAATCAGTATGTGAGTGTTCTATCGTTTAAGTGATGGCCTCTTCGGCTGNGGGAGACCCCTCCCGGCCCCTTCACTGGAGAACTGCGCTAAAACAGCTGATCACAACGTTCCCCGCCCCGTGTTGATAGAAATCAACAAGTAATGAAATAAGACCCCACAGTTTGATGATTGATAGGTATTGGGGAATCTTATGTTGTGTGAAGTTTGTGCCGGAGCCGCTTCATCCAAAAACAGCACTCCGGTTAGAGAGTAGACGCGGAGACAGGAAATACAGTCTTTGGACTTTATTTCAGCTTGAATGCTTCTTACAACAGCTGTAGCAGTATTGAATGATGAATGAATGGTTGAATGGAGATTGATGAATGAATGTAGAATGATTGAATGAATGGTTTCTGCAAAATACACAGAAATAGAAATAAGGTTCACATTACAATAATTAACCAGACTCTGGTTATTAATAATAAGCAACAGCAATTCTAATTGAGGCTATTTTTAGCCTCAATTAGAATTGCTGTTGCTTATTATTAATAACCAGAGTCTGGTTAATTATTGTAATGTGAACCTTATTTCTATTTCTGTGTATTTTGCAGAAANTAATTTACTTGTACGGGAGTCTGGGCAAAGGACGTCTACAACGCCCTCCGGGGTTCCATGTCCCAGAGAAGCCCGAATTGGTCCAATTTGTTATTCCACGAAAATTGTCGTCATAAAGGGGAATGTGGTAATTTATATAAAGAACATTTAGATTGAAGGTTGTTAATTAAATACATTAGGTTTAGTTTGATTTTGGTTCTATAACGTGCGTAATTACCCAAAAGACACCAATGTTATTGAGGAGGCAGACTTTCTCTACAGTGTTACAGGAGCAGTCTCAAAACCATGGAAGGAGGTACAAAGACAGGGACGTGAACAAAGACCTAAGGCAAGTACACTCGCGGCACGTACGTCAGAATCCGGGGCGGGGATACGAGAGTAACCGGACTCTGCGTACTACTCAGGGTGGATTCGGTTATTAACAAGGGTAGGGGTGGATACTTGGGTACAAACCAGGACTACACATAAGTCTCGGTCACGTCGTTGCCTGAAAGAATTTATTATTAATTATTATTATTTTTTCTGCAAAGACACGCATTGTAAAACCGGCTCCGCTATTATTGTTCAATTGAACCGGGTCGGGACCAAAACATGTTTTCCTTTTGTCTATAAAGAAGGGAGTCATAGTAGTCAAGAAATTTCAAGTTGCAGTTTGAATGTAGTGAATTTTTAAACAACGAGGAGTTCAACTCGTAGTGGTGCCCCACGCCCCCGGCTAACGTGCCGGGACTTTGAGGTGGTGAGTCGTCGAGCTAGTCGAGACGTGCCAGACCCCCCGACTCAAAGAAACTACACAAACTCACGAAGCAGGTCCTCGTGCAGTTGGCAGCCTCGAGGACCCTTGAAAAAGTCGGT